CCGGCTTCCGAGTCTTCCGAGAGTTCCGTCGGAGATCCGGTGACGTCACGGACATCGACGTCACCGGACTCCTCCTTCCCTTCGTTAGCCGATGGAGCCACTTGGGGAAGGGGGAGGAGTCCGGTGACGTCACCGGACTCCTCCTTCCCTTCGTTAGCCGAGGAGTTCCGCCTGTTCGGGGGGCCCAGAGAGGGAGCAGAGGGCCCGCAGCTCCTTCATGCAAATCCCCCTCCCTCCCCCGCCGCTCTGCCACCCGTAGCAGTAGAATGTACGGGCAGCTGTGCGGGGAGAGGAGGCTGTGCCGGTCACCTGTGTGCCTGGCTGAGCTGCTACAGACATCGCAGGCATTGCCAGGCTGCACAATCAGCTGTTGGGAGAGGACCCTCTGGCTGCCGAGATGAAGCAGCTGCTGCCGGGAGTCAGGTAATGATGGGTGAAGGCTAGATGGGGAAGGGGGGGTTTAAACTGGTGGATTGTACAGCAATGCTGAATACCACCAACTATGGAAGACTGCAAGTCCCAGCAATACATTATATTAAGTAGGGATGCACCTGTGCCAATACTGGGCATTTTCACAAGCACTCATACTCGTGAAAATGACCCAATACTAAACGCAGATACCGGCACTGGCGAAACTACCAGGGCTGCATCAGTCGCATTTGCAACCGGGCCCTGGTGTTCCACCAGTTTGGGGGGCCCAGAGAGACCAGAACACTGACATTGTTTTGCCATGTGTTCCGGAGATCACACTGCGTCCGGGGGGCGTACCTGCGTTGCCATTGACTTTAATGCAACAACACGCCCCCTTCCGCCTCAGAATGCAGTGAGGCGGCCGGGATCCGATTCAGTGCGTTCCAGCATGAATCGGGCCGGAACGCACTGGAACTGGTGTGAACTAGCCCTGAATGTCATAACATACATAGAGGGGAATTTATCAAAACTGGAGCAGACAGAATCTGGAGCAGTTACCTATGGCAACCAATCAGCATCCACCTTTTATTTTTAAACTTTAACTGAACAAACTGAAGAGAGAAGCTGATTGCTTGTCATAGGCAACTGCTCCAGATACTTTTGCTTCAGTTTTGATAAATCCCCCCATACAGTTTGAGGGGAAGCAGCGGCCATATTGAGTGGGGCACGTGAGATTAATAACCTGCTGGATTAGTGTGATCCTAGTTCATTTTATTACTTCATTGCTGTGCTGTATGTGTATATGCCAATGTAGTTGGATCTGTATGTGCGTTTATAATCGAAATTAATCGATTAAAAAAAAAATGTGATTAATCGTTATTCATTACCAGCCCTAATAATTTTGTTAATTTGGTTTTTTTTTCTCCACTTTTTTGTCTCATACCAATACAAACAAAAGAAATAAACATGAGAATGCTAAACATTTGTGATTGCAACACTTTTCTACGCGAAGTGGTGCATTATCTGAAAGAAATGCAGGGGTGCCAATATTTTGGGCTATGACTATGTATTGCATCGTTGTGTTTAGCTGTTTACTTGAAGTTCAGCTGTATTGTTTTTGCTTGCAGCCTCAGCTTAGTGTCAAGTCTACCACATATTTGCTGAGTTGGTCTGTCTCCCCCTTCTCTCTCTAAGGCTTCATTCACACTGGAGCGGTTGTCCACGCGTAATCGGTTAGCCGAATACACACGGAGCCGCTCTAAACAGAAAAAACAGCCCGCAAAATAGTCCAAGCACGGTTTTTTAATGGATTCTGCATGTTCGAGGCTATATAATAGTCGCAAATGAGCGGAATCCCTGCATGCATTTCAAATATAGCTCTTGCGTCCCATGCGGTCTTCCACACGGAAAACCATGCAGGAAATGCAAACGGTATATGTGAATGGTTGTGGTTGGTATAGATCTGCTGGAAACATATAAAGGTTTTGGAACAAATTTTCAGCAGCTTTGCATTGTTTTTTTTTTTTTCAAAACAATTTTTATTTTCATTTAAAGATATTGACAATGATTTGCACATATGTTTCGGCACAATACATCAAATACAGTCAGATATCATCTTAAAGTTACATATCACATTAATCTTTTGTAGAGAGCGAGGTTAAAGACCTCTCAATTTTGACTTTATATGTTTAGGGAAGCTTTGCATTGTATTAGGGAGGCTCTCCCAAATGGTTGTGGTCAGAACCCATTACCATTTTGTTTTCCAGTATGCCGTCATTTTTGTGAAGCCATCCTTAGCAGTCCATCAGATGCCAGTTAAACTACCATTATATGTTTGGGATTTGAGAGGAAACTGGAGCACCCAGAGGAAGCCTATGTAACCACAGGGTGGATATTAAAACTTCATAAGTGTGCCTGGTGTGAATCAAAGCAAGGACCAAGAGACGCAAGGCAAGAGTTATAAGCGCTTAAAGCGACTTCATGCTATTGCTTATGCTATCCTATCTAACAGTACCTGTGCATAGAGCCTCTTGTATGTTATTTATGTCTTCCTGTCTCAATTTATGAGCAATTCCTTGATAGCAGTTGTGACAAATCTGAGTATACCTTTAGAAGTCTAATCTGCAGTCTCTGTCTTTGTATTCCTGATTGGCTGGAATACTTTTTTCTATTGGCTGTGGTTATACAGGTGAAACTCGAATAATTAGAATATCGTGCAAAGTTCATTTATTTCACTAATGCAACTTAAAAGGTGAAACTAATATATGAGACTCATTACATGCAAAGCAAGATAATGCAAGCCGTGGTTTGTCATAATTGTGATGATTATGGCTTACAGCTCATGAAAACCCCAAGAACCCCAAATCCACAACCTCAAAAAAGTAGATTATTACATGCAATCAATAAAACAAGGATTGTACATAGAACAATATCGGACCTCTGAAAAGTACAAGCATGCATATGTACTCAGTACTTGGTTTGGGCCCCTTTTGCAGCACTTACTGCAATTACTTTTGCATGATATTCTAATTATTCGAGTTTCTCCTGTACATTATTAAAGTAACACTAAACTCAGGGGTTAAACCTTAAATATGCATTCAAGTCCCTTAACTATGAACAAAAATGTATCCTATTTGTGTATCACTCAGCTGTAGATCCTCAAATCATCTCTGAATTGGTGCTGACACCGTCCTTTCTTCTAGAGGGGGGCTACTTTTGTTCCCCATGGTCCGTGTGTGTGTTGTAAAGTAGACACTACTCCAAGCTCACTCCCATGATAGGCTACAATCTCAATACAAACTAGTAAACTAAACGTGAGATCGTAGTCCATTACAGGAGGGAGCTTGGAGTGGTGGCAACTGTGGCATGATCCAGGGAATAATAAAGAGTATACAAAAGGCCCGTATGCACAAGTACTGTTAGGATGGCAAGGGTCACTTTAACACTCACTTCTACCCAATCTTCCAAAGCAAGGATAATAGAATGTCTGCAAAATCTGCATGTGGTCAAGGTCTGTTACATTAAAATTTAGCAAAGATGGTGCAATCTGCCTTACATTTTTAGGTAGATTGAAATATTTTCTATTAACATATTTTCTATATGTTAGGTGATAAACAAGCTAATCACCTTCAGAAGTTTACAACCAATGTGGCTGGACAGGCTCATTCACCCCGCAGGCTAAAGATATTAGGCAAAACATGTATGGCTAGCTTAACATGGGTACCTGACTCAAAATGAACACTTGTTTATTGGTGCTAGTACCATTTCATTTTTTTCTAATTATTGTGATTTTGCACCTTTTTGTAGCTTAGTGTTAAGAAGTAAACTTGACAACCAGAAACCAAAGTCTAGCCGCTGTAGAGAATACATTTCATTAGGACTAATTATACCATGATACCATGGAGAATATCTGTCATGTATTTCCATACTGGAACTGGAAATTAAATACAACATTTCTGCTTTGCTGCTTCAGGTTTTAACCTTTTTGGTACTTTGGAAGGGTTGGGGGGTTACTAACATGCCAAAAGAATAACGGAATTTTGCAATTACAAGTATAATTGTTAATCCACAGCAAACGTGGATGAATACATAATTAAATAACTTGTGAAAAAACATTATTATATAATTAATATCCAATTCACCAGTGGCTAGAATATCTATTTCCAACCGAGGACTAGAGTACAGCCCTAGAGTAGTAAATTACATTTTTATTAAACACATTGTAAATTTATAGCACTATTTTTGCTGTAGTTTTTATACATGAGGCCTATTGTCATTGATGTGCTAAACCTTGATCATTTCAGTTGGATCTCAAAGTGAAAACATAGGGGCTGATTTACAAAAGTTAGAGGCTGCTCACTTAGTAAAGCACCTGTTCACTGTGCAAAGTAAATATTAGGAAATAATGTGAACCTGTGTTCACTTAGAATACCCAATCATATACTGAACAAGTATTTTGCTGTCTTATTGACAAAACAGAAAGTGAGAAGTCTCTCCAATTTGAGGAAAATGTCCTGTGTGCTGTACGTTATACAATTTCTGTACATATATGTATATTACAGCATACTCTTATTTTTATTAATCCCCGATCTCTCTAATGTTCGAATGGGAACACTTTAAGTGTATATAATTGCAGGCTAAGACTGCATCATTATATAAATCTTGATATTCAGGTTTCAATATATAAATATTTACTTGCCTTTTTAATTGCATCCTGGGGTGTGAAAACTTACATGAATTATTTTCTATATCATGACAAATTATATTAGAAGAAACATGTTTTTTATCTTCTATATGAACTAATGAAGACGTATAAAAAATGAATTATGCACGGACCATTAAACACTCAGATAAACACTAAGCTGAAAGTTGAACTGACAGTTGCTATTGGTTTTAGACTTTGCAAGTGCAGTTTAATCCAAATGATTTATGTGTCAGAAAATTATCAGTGGAAGGAGCATGTGATTGGTTGGTCATGGTCAGATGGTACTGTGGGGTAGCATTTGCAAATTTTGGGGTAAACGTTGTATGGTAATGCATGATGAAGAACATCTTTTTTTTTTTTAGATGAATTTCTCTGTGTTTTTCAGATTGAGTAGAATTATGGGAGCTGAAGATCTTGCAGTCAAGATGTTGAAAGGTTGCCCTCGAGTAAGGATCTCTGCTGAGGATGCCCTTCTTCATAAATTCTTCAGTACTTTGCCTTGTCAGCTTTACCAGCTATCTGACGGTATGTTCAGATTATATTATGATGGTGTGTCCTTATACATACAGTAAATTATGCTACTTCTTCATCTGTATTGATTTTAACTCGCAAGGTACTTGACTGTAGAGATGTAGATAACATATTTTTTAAAAAGTTTTATATCCGCAGGTAAGCCTATAAATATTTAGGTTTCAGCTTGCAATTAAAAAAGTAAATGCAGAAAGTTCCAGTGCCCTCATTTCATGAGTTATATATTAAGGAACGTAACTGTATATTTTGCCATCACACAACTCTTTGTTATAGGGCTTTATCCCTTACATACTCTATCAAAAAAAGGGACTTTAAATACATTTTATATAGTATTTGGCCAAGCCCATAAGCCCAGCCACAACTGGGCATGAATGTAGGATGATACTACTAAGTAATAATTGGGCTGATTTACTAAAGGAGATGACAATGTTCACTAAAATAATTGCCTGAATTCATATCCGGGCTCCTGATGCAGGACATACAGCCGGAGATGGGACTCTGTGCTCACTGGGTCTCACGGAACGTATTACGACTACTCATGCCACAAGCACGCTGTTGGGGATTTTACTGTTCTATGCTAGGAAATTGATAGCGTTACACTGGAAAAAGCCGTCTCCGCCTACCTTGATTAATTGGAGGGGATTAGTAGAATCTGTTATCCCAATGTATAAAGCTACGTATATCCCTTGCCCTCAAAAGTTCCATAAAGTCTGGGGACCCTGGTTGGATGCATTTTCTGCGGTACTAGCTAGTGACAGTGTTTATATGAAAAATCTAATAAAAACAATTTAAAAAAAATATAATTGTCTGAATGTTCACCTTAGTTATCCAATCATGTGGAAAGCATCTGCACATGATTGGGTATTTAAAGTGAATAGGAATTTCCTTTTGCAATTACAATAATTTATATAGCGCCAACATATTGTGCAGTGCTGTACAATCGTTTAGGCAAAACAAGTAAGAAACATTGACAAGCATCATTGACATACAGAAACAGTAGGTGAGAAGGACCCTGCCCAAACGAGCTTAAAATCTAAGAGGATAGGTATAGGGTGAGAAATCAAGGGGAGAGCTGATATGCATCTCTAAAGAAGGGATTTTCTTAAGTCTTGTAGGGATGGTGAGAGCCTGATGTTACATAGTTACATAGTATTTGAGGTTGAATAAAGACATTAGTCCATCAAGTCCAACCTATTAGGATCTCATTCTAGGAGTACCTGTACCCCTGTATATTACGGTCCCTTAGTGCCGTGGGAGAGAATTCCTTAAGGTGGGGGCAGCCCTGGTCAGGTCCTGTAGAGGAGAGTTTGGTGTGTGTGTGTGTGGGTGAGTGAGTGAGCAGGATAGTCTCAGGTCATTAGTGGAATAAAGGGGCCGATTTGGAGTGTAATTAGGGAGGAAATTTATAAAATCATTTGGGTGAACATTCTCAAGTCCTTTAGTAAATCAGTCTCAATGTGTACTGCATACTAACATCATGGCATGGCATGAGGAGCCTTCACACAGTTTGTAATAATTGTGAGGTTTTTGATTAAAAATACAATATGTGCATCACTATAGTTTCCTACAGTGAGTGTATTACAAACTTAATGGTGATTACACCATTGGAGGAGGGCTTGTAAGTAAATGAAAATACACTATTGGGGGTTATTCACTTAGCTACTGAAGGAAACCGAGTGAATAACCGAGCCGAATGCTGGGAAGCTATTCACTTCAGCCTTCTAAGGCTGATTTCAGGCGTACATCGGCTGCCTTCGGTCAGCCGAAGTGCAGGAGTTCGACTCAGCCGATCCAACATCTGGATTGGCTGAGCCGAAGCTCTGGCAACTTGTTGCCGTTCGCCCCTATTCTGATAGGGGCCGAATGGCAGTAAGTGAATAGCCGAATGCCTCTGAGCTATTCTGCTCAGTACCTCAGAGGTAGCGAGCAGAATAGAAAATAAGTGAAATGAATAAAAAAAAAGTAGAAAAATGAATAAAAACATTTTTTCAAAAGGAAAAAAATGATGCAACCCGACCGCACGTGTTGAACTCCCTGCCGCATAATGAAGCATCTGACAGATGCCGGCAAAATAAAAAACAATTGAGTGGAGCTAGGGGTGACAACTTGCTCCGCACGACTGTTTCCTATTGGCCGCCACCTACCAGAGTCTTTTAGCAGGTCCCGACCAATGAATAACAACTGGGCGGAGCCGGCCATGACATCACTGCTGGCTCCGCCCAGTTTTTATTGTTTAATGACAGATCAGCATTCCCAGGTCATTTGGGGAAGCTGATCTGTCATTACAACTGGGCGGAGCGAGCTTTGAGATCACTACCTTTCTCCTTTCTCCATGCTTCGGCTGTCACTTCGGCTCAGTCGAGCCAAAGCATATGCGTTTGGCTCGGCTGAGCCACTGGGCTGCTTTCGGCTGCTGGACGGGCTATTGTGAATAACTCGTACAGCAGCCCTTCGGTTTGACTGAACCAAAGGGCTCAGGTGGCTGAAGTGAGCCGAAAGATGAGCCAAAGCTACGGCTGGATCCTTTGGCTCCATAGTGAATAACCCCCTATTGTTAGAGACAGATTGTTGTTTTATACTTCATAATCGTACAGTTAAGGAAAAAATAGAGCAAATACCCTGAAGAACACATGGCAATGACTTAATCACATGTCCAGTAGTCCCTTGATAATCCTTTTGAAGGATTACCCCATAAATTCCTGACATGCCAGCTCTTTATTTGGGTTATCTCTTAAATCCTAAACAGGTCAGTTTACTGTGCATGTAGTCCTATAAATGTGTAGGATTTCAGCCCTTTCACTAGCAGGACCCTTGGTGAATGGAGCATGCCATTTATCCATCTGGAAAAGTTACGCTTCTAATTCCTAAATAAACATGCTGTCTGCAGGATGAACTGAGGAATAGCTTTAAGGCTCTTCTCCATTTCTGAAAGTACTTGAAGGCTTTAGCATGTCCAAATGCACATCTTTGTGATCAAAAACATTCTAAAAACTTCATATGCTTCCTTCTAGTCTCAAATGTCATATTCTGCTAATCTTTGTGACTTCTATGTACTATCATATTTTCAATGATATCCGATGGAGAGGAATGTGGTATCCACCCTTTTAAATCAGATAGTTTTTATTGATTTTACACATTTTACACGTACAGTAGGCAAAACAGGCAGCCAGAGTAATTTCTCCAAGATCACACGCCTTTCGCAGAATACGCTCCTTATCACGGTAGTTGAGGAGCCGGATCAGCAGGGGTCTAGGAGGGTTTCCAGGTGGCAGCGGACGAGATGGAACCCTGTGGGCTCTTTCCACAGCAAATAACGGGGACAGGTAATCTTTCCCAAATACTTCGCCTAGCCAGGATTCAATAAAATCGGTAGCATTGGCCCCTTCAGCTCGCTCTGGTATGCCGACAGCGCGGATATTATTGCGGCGTAGCCGGTTTTCGATGTCATCATTTTTCAGGGTGTTCGCAGATATGTCATGCAGCGCCGTCTTGACATCAGCAATCAGGGGGGAGGCAGAGTCCTCCAGGTCACTAACCCTGCTTTCCAAGGCAGAGGTGCGTTCCCTCACCTTCTGCAAATCATGACGTATAAAAGTGATATCAGCCCTCATCCCATGCACCTCCCCTGTGAGAGAGGTCAATGCGGAGTTGCAGAGCTGTACAGCCGATAGGACATCGGCAATAGTGGGTTCAGCTGGCTTGGCTTTGATTTTGGACGCTTTGGGGGCCTTACTGGTCTTGTGAGCATTACTCACTGTGCCCAAGATGGCGTCCGGCCCATCTGAATCAGAGGCTGAGGATTGCAGCCGATCTGGCAGTAGCTCCCTGCGGGTGGCCCGATCTGCAGAATAGGAGAGCCTCTGCCCCTTAGCAGGGGTGTCAGGATGGCGGGCGAAGCGCTCCAGTCGCGCCGCTGTATCCCTGCCTCTGTCCCCTGTCTGCTTGCTAGGGGTGGGGAGCGTGTGCTGTGTGCCGCCGCCATCTTGGATCGCGGGAGGGAGGCCCTTACCGTCCTTCTTCTTGGACATCTCCCGGTCTCAATGTGGCTGCAGGAAGCCCGAAAACGGAGTGCAGGCGTCAGCGAGACCTAGGCAATCGGCCAGTGCAGGATAGACGGGTACCGGAAAGCCCGACGGGTATCTTTCAGGATAAATTGCGGGAGAGCTCCCCTACAGACGTCTGCTCACATTCGGCTGCTGGCCACGCCCCCCGGTATCCACCCTTAAACTAAACTTGCTGTGTTTAGTTTTAGTATTTCTCTCATGTCCATACATTATAAAAAATTGTTTTCAGATGATGAAAGTTCCTTGTAAAGACATTTGCTAACCACTTGAGCTTAGGCTGTATAAAATTATTCTTGTTGATATTTGTGAGGACACACTTATTGCTGGTTAGAATAAAGCAGTCACGCAAGGCAAAAGAGAAGGGTCACTTACTTCCCCCCCAGCCCTGCAATACATACTTACCTTTCCTCATTCTTGTGCTGCTATGATTGACTGCTGAGAGTGACTGGAAATACCCAGCACTTTCACATATGGGTAAGCATTTTATTTAGCAAAGGGTCACTGTAAAACATACGTTCAGATTTTACAGTACAGTTCAGGGTGTCAGCATCCAGTGCATCATACAAATAGCTCAATGAAACCCCCAACCTCTGTTAAAGTGACACTAAACTCAGGAGTTAAACCTTAAAAATACATTCAAGTACCTTTTATCTATTTACAATACTGAACCTTATTGTGTATCACTCGGCTGTAGATCCCCAAATCATCTCTGAATTCATGCTGACCCTGTCCTTCCTTCTGGAGGGTGGCTACTTTTGTTCCCTATGGTCCCTGTGTGTGTTGTAAAGTAGCCGCCATTCCAAGCTTGTTCCCGTGATAGACTACAATCTCAATACAAACTAGTAAACTACATGTGAGATTGTAGTCCATCATGGGAGTGAGCTTGGAGCGGTGAATACTTTATAACACACGCAGGGACCATGGGGAACA